AGAGCACAGTAGAAAGAGGGGGGGGGGGGGGGGGGGGGGAGGAGAAAAAAAAAAAAAAACCTTACTGACTGCACTTTTTTGGGTTTTTTTGTTTTTTTTAAACAATCACCAAAAAATAAAGACATCTAATTTGTTGTTACATTTAGAGTAACTAAAACGTGGCCACTGCTTATTAATGTCTGTTTATGCTCCTAAAACATCTATGGTTACCATAAAATTGTGTCAACATTGAATTGGACTCAGGGCACTATCTGTAATAAAAGGAAGATGATTTTGTTCACAGAAAGTTAATAATCTGTATCTGAGCCTTCTGCATTGTCCACATTGCGTGAGAGCATGTAATTGTCCATATCTATAGACCTGCAATTATTGATTGCATAGCGCAAACGCTCTGCCATGATTAGCTGACTGGAGTATGGTGGGAGCCTCAGCTGAAAGAAACACGTCTGTGAGGTAGGCAAGCTGTCATAAGGCTGTGGAAATAGACAAAAAGTAGGACATAGTTAAAAGTGCAAAGGAAATTGAAAGGTGTAGCACATTCATCGTTTCTTCCTGCCCAAGAAACAACTTTAAAAAAATGGTACACCACACACACCCTGAATAAGTTATCAAATCAATGAGCAGTAAACAATTCCTAGACAAAAAGACATGTTTTATAAACATGTTTCCCACTACTACCCTCTTATGAGTGTCTTCGTACATGTTAACAGGGAGGAGAAAAGTGTTCTAACTGCACTGTGAATAATTCGTTTTCATGACGATCTTTCTATAAACTAGCTCTAAACATATTTAAGATTTAGAACAAATCTAAGAAATGGTTGCATTAGAAGCTACTGAGCTGCAACACTATTTCTTGGGATAAAGTGTGTATACAGTGGGCTTCCACATGGGTACGAGGGTGATTTTTGGTGGCTGTTGACATTCAAACAGCTCCATGTCTATTTTCTCTTTTCCCAAGTCATTCTATAATGTCGTATTATTGAGAATGAGTTCAGAGATGGAGCATAAACAAGACTCCATTAAGTCTACTAAATCAGAAAACGTATTGCAGTAGGAAATGACTGTCAGATTAAATATAGTGCAATAGTTCAGTGTTGTTTAGCCACCAGCCTCAACTTCACCTAATAATTACATTTACATCTTCATATGTTCAAAGTATTCACTGAATTATGCTAAAATTCACACAATGTTATGGAATTATTATATAACACTATTATAGAATTAAATCACATGGCTCTAACAGTCAAACTCATTCCACAATGCATAGTGTCTCAGGACTTCATGTTGGTAAAAGGAGCCAAATTTCAACAAAGGATTGATTAAAATGGTCAGAAATGAACATATTTAAAAAAATAGCATCTTACCCTATCAACCTTCATTATTTGGAATCGCTGAGAGATATCAGCAGTGTTTGCTGGCAATCGAGATCTTCCTGACACAAACCTCATGAAAAGGACTCTTTCCTCATTTGAAAACTCTTCCAGGGTGTGCCAGAACCACTGAACTAACTGATGCTGTTCATCAACCTCTCTGTACCGCACAACTTTCTTCAGGACCTCAACTGAGATTTCTGGCATTCCACAAACCATTTGTTCCAATTGCTTAGCAGTCAGAAGAGACAACAAGGGAACTGGAACAATCCAAGACATTCCCTCCCGCACAGCAGCCACCTATAATACAAAAAGAATGGTTACTGAGTCGTTATTATTTTGGATCCTTAGCAATCTTCATGCAAAGCTAAGACTTTGAGACTGAATACTCATGTGGATGAACAGCCTAAGCACTCCAGCTCCTGCCTGCAGCCCCACTCCCGGAGAGCTGGCTGCGGTCCCTTCACTGTGGGGATGGTAGCTTGTATATAACTGTTCATGGTAACTGATAAACCCAGGCTTGTTGGTCATTTAAACAGTTACACTTTTACATCCCTACTGTAAACCAAAACCTTTGTTATTCCTGGCTTATCATGATGGTCAATATCCAATTAACAAAATAGGTAAGGTTCAGTGACATTCTCACCTGACGATCAATTTCATGAAGTCGGTACTCAATTGCCCTCTCCACATATTCTTTCCTGTTTGAAAAAGTAAGTGGGATACTGTTCCCACCAGGGATTATGGGAACCATTTTACCATCAGCACTTTGGCCAACAAAGGAATCTAGAGGAATCATCTATTAACAGAAAAGAAAATATTGTTCAAGGTAAGACATGTGGGTAAAGTATTGAATTACAATTACTGTACATCACTTGGCAACAACTGACTATCAGTCATGCCCATCTAAGGCAGTTATGAAGTGTCTTTTACCTTACAATGAGCCACATCCATTTTTTAAAATTAGTATGTTGTCATTAAGATCAGCCTATAAAAACAACTGGGTCCGGAAGATTTGGAGAAGGAGTTTATTTTCATTTCATACCTCATGGAAATTCTCTTCAGTAATCCCACTGTCTTCAATGTGAAGAATGCTGTTGAGGGTCTGCACATACAGCAGGTCTACCTCCTCTAAATCCTCCAAAGTAAGTGGGATACAACAAAGTTGCTTCCAGACCATTGGAGCCAAATGAAGATCTAAAGGCTTCTTGGTACGAATAGCGACACCCATCAAAATGCCTAAGAATTTAAACTGCATCAGGTGTTCATCTAAACAGGCTGAAGAGTTAAAAAGAAACCTAAAAGAAAATAGAAACAGTGTAAAGGCTCCAACAAAATTCACTTTTCACTTCATATGGCTACAAGCTAAACAGCAGCTATTTGTAGGGCAAGATCCCCAAGTTTACCACAGCAGCATTAATTCTGAAGGCTGCCAGGGTTAAAATGGATCCAGCCAAAAGCTAGAGCATATTCAGTGTTGCTTTACTTTACTCTCCAGCAAACCGAGTTGTTAGTCTTACCTACTGAGAATGCCTGCAGGTGCATCCTGTTCTGGCCTGGTCCCCTCCCACACCTTGAAATAACCCCTACCTACAGGAGTGTGGATAAAAGCAACTGTTCCAGAATGGAGCAATCAAGAAACTTCAACATTTGTCAAACATCTGTTCTAAGACCTTTTTTCTTCTATTTTGTTAGCAAGTGTCCTGTAATAAGACGAAATGCTATCCAACTTACCTATCCCTATTGTAGCCTACTTCTGCGGTAGCATTTGGAGAAGGAATAAGCAGGTCCACCACACCAGTTTCCAGTTCCTTAAAAATAAAAAAGTGTTTCTTAAACATTATAGCTCAGCACATGGCATTAACTTAATGATAATGTTGCCAAAAAACCATCTTAAAAGGGATTTTTTCCCAAAAGGAAATCAGCACATGGTAAGTATAACTAGAAGAAAATAACAGATTAATATAAGAACCAAAAATCTGTTTCCTATTTGTGATGGGATTTTATTTAAATTGATTTTGCTGCATTTCCAAGGCTAGCAAAGAATAGCTACGCACATACTTCAACAATAGCCTTTAAATGGCACCATCACAAAGAGGTAACATGCTATGCAAGATCTATTGTCCTCCTCCCACATCATGGAAGATGCACTGTTGCCCTAGTGTAGCCTCAGAACTGCTGCCACTTGATGGAGGTATCCAGTGCACCAGATGAGAAGATTTGGCCTAAAGTGCTACATAACAGGAAATTGTCATAGGAAACAAAAAAGAAAGAGTGCTTGAAAGAAATAGTTAAGGTATTTACAGCATGTGTCATACCTGGCACATTTCTGTAATAGTGTCATCAAACACCCCCCCGGCATCATCGGCTCCTTCTCCAACCAATTTCACTTTCCAAGCACGGGATGGTAGGCGAAGGTCTGAAGCATTCAGCTTTACCACTTGTCTTGCTATTTGTACAAAAATAGGCTTACATTTCCGACCTCTTCGAAGAAAAAGAAAGCGACAGAAAATGTAATTTATAGAAAGATCACTTGTATACTCTAAAGTCTTGTCTGCACAGTGGGGTAATGTGCACTACAGGGTGATTTCTAAAGCTCATTAACACATCATGTGTTAATTGGTCCACATAAACCCTTCCTAGTGCTTACTAAGGGTTCCTTGGTACACTTTAATAGAAAGTACATGAGAACGCCTTAGGTGCATTATACCAATGAATGCAAAATATATCTGTGTACTTCAGAAATTTCACTCCATACCACGTATTAATCCACTGTCTTGTAAAGCTGTCCTACATACCCATGGTGTCCAACCAATTCTGAAGCTATAGCAAACTAGCCACACTCAACTGGCCAAATAACCACCGTGGCTAGTGTGTTGGCTATATACTGATAGTGATAGAAATTCCAGTCCTTCCTGAATGTTTGCAGAAACACTATGGTGCCAATACTGACCTGGTCGATATTCTTTTTACAGTAATTTGAGGCCCATAGTTCTTCCCCTGAACCATGGTTTTTCCTATGGAGCGTACCATGGGAAGTGTGTAGACTCTTGGTGCCAATAATGGTCTTAGCTGTCCTTGGACTATGCCCCATGTTCCAGCATTGTAATGAGATGTGCTGTTCTGTAATACAGCAGCATATTCATAAACATAGTATGCTTTAAATATTCATATTAATTCAAATATTTCTGGAATAAGAATCTCCATCATTAATACAGCCTGAACTTCCTCCTAATAGTTGGTGAAAACTGATGAAAATACAGGAAAGCTACATAAATTATTTTGGTCTTAACAGAATGTTACAAAATATCTCTCACCAATTACAAATGTTAGGCTAATGGGTTCGCGACACAGACACTGAAAGATGTACTTAAATCAGAATTTATTAAAACTATTTTTGGGAGAATGAGTTAATGAGGGTTTTATGTTCTACAGACAACAAAAACAAGAAAGCACTATTACCATAATTTAATTTTGAGGGCGAAAACTCTGGTGACAAGGCACAAAAATACATTTGTTAACTCTTTTCAAGATAATGTTTTACCTGGTTATTGGGGCTGAGATTAAGTAATCTCCAGGAAGAGTACATGAGGTCTGAAAAATGGTACAGAAGTCTGAGTCTTGCTCTCACAGTATGAATACTCATTTCCTTCAGTGCACCGTACTGTGGTGGAATGGCATCAGGTAAACCAAGCTGTAAAGGCACCGATACACCTGCACAGAAAACAGACTAAATTATTCCATAAAAGTATCTAATCTCTTTAAGATCATGACAAAATGCCTGTAGGCTTCTGTGCAAGCAGTTTTGGGCCTTAATAGACAATAAGATATATTATTTCACACACGTTTTCTCTCTAATAATATCATGGGACTAACACGGCTACAACAATAATGCATGCAAATGTTAATAGGTTCTTGCCTCCAAGTGTTATACTACCCAGGGCCAGCTCTAGGTTTTTTACCGCCCCAAGCAAAAAGATTTTTGACTGCCCCTCCCTCCCTGGTCCCAATTCTGCAGGACAGGCACTGAGGAGGAAAGCGCCCCTTTCACCTTGCGGCTCTGACTCCCACCACGCCCTCCAGCCAAACCCAGCCTACGTCCTGTCTCCCCCCACACACATCCTGCCCCTCTCCCCCACCTACTCACCGAACCCAGTTTCCACCTTCTCTCCCCTCCCAGGCAAACCCTACCCCTCAGTGACGGGACCCAGTCTGCCCTCAAACTAATCCACCCTGCGCCCTCTCTTCCCTCCCAGCCAAACCCGATTCCCCCGCCCTCCCCTCCGACCGGACCCAGTCTGCTCCCCTCTCCCACCTACCCCCACTGACCGAACTCCATCTCCTTTCCCTCTCCCCACCAAACCCTCGTGTCCCTTCCCCACAGCATGCACGGAAACGTCAGAGCGCCCTGGGGGAGGAGTGAAAGGGGGACGTGCACGGACACAGCCGGGAAATGTAACGGGCACCTCTTCTCCCCCCCCCTCCCAAATCTCTGAGCTGGGGCAGGCGAGGCTCCCTCCAGTGGCTCCTTTGTCTACTAAATCAGAAAACGTATTGCAGTAGGAAATGACTGTCAGATTAAATATAGTGCAATAGTTCAGTGTTGTTTAGCCACCAGCCTCAACTTCACCTAATAATTACATTTACATCTTCATATGTTCAAAGTATTCACTGAATTATGCTAAAATTCACACAATGTTATGGAATTATTATATAACACTATTATAGAATTAAATCACATGGCTCTAACAGTCAAACTCATTCCACAATGCATAGTGTCTCAGGACTTCATGTTGGTAAAAGGAGCCAAATTTCAACAAAGGATTGATTAAAATGGTCAGAAATGAACATATTTAAAAAAATAGCATCTTACCCTATCAACCTTCATTATTTGGAATCGCTGAGAGATATCAGCAGTGTTTGCTGGCAATCGAGATCTTCCTGACACAAACCTCATGAAAAGGACTCTTTCCTCATTTGAAAACTCTTCCAGGGTGTGCCAGAACCACTGAACTAACTGATGCTGTTCATCAACCTCTCTGTACCGCACAACTTTCTTCAGGACCTCAACTGAGATTTCTGGCATTCCACAAACCATTTGTTCCAATTGCTTAGCAGTCAGAAGAGACAACAAGGGAACTGGAACAATCCAAGACATTCCCTCCCGCACAGCAGCCACCTATAATACAAAAAGAATGGTTACTGAGTCGTTATTATTTTGGATCCTTAGCAATCTTCATGCAAAGCTAAGACTTTGAGACTGAATACTCATGTGGATGAACAGCCTAAGCACTCCAGCTCCTGCCTGCAGCCCCACTCCCGGAGAGCTGGCTGCGGTCCCTTCACTGTGGGGATGGTAGCTTGTATATAACTGTTCATGGTAACTGATAAACCCAGGCTTGTTGGTCATTTAAACAGTTACACTTTTACATCCCTACTGTAAACCAAAACCTTTGTTATTCCTGGCTTATCATGATGGTCAATATCCAATTAACAAAATAGGTAAGGTTCAGTGACATTCTCACCTGACGATCAATTTCATGAAGTCGGTACTCAATTGCCCTCTCCACATATTCTTTCCTGTTTGAAAAAGTAAGTGGGATACTGTTCCCACCAGGGATTATGGGAACCATTTTACCATCAGCACTTTGGCCAACAAAGGAATCTAGAGGAATCATCTATTAACAGAAAAGAAAATATTGTTCAAGGTAAGACATGTGGGTAAAGTATTGAATTACAATTACTGTACATCACTTGGCAACAACTGACTATCAGTCATGCCCATCTAAGGCAGTTATGAAGTGTCTTTTACCTTACAATGAGCCACATCCATTTTTTAAAATTAGTATGTTGTCATTAAGATCAGCCTATAAAAACAACTGGGTCCGGAAGATTTGGAGAAGGAGTTTATTTTCATTTCATACCTCATGGAAATTCTCTTCAGTAATCCCACTGTCTTCAATGTGAAGAATGCTGTTGAGGGTCTGCACATACAGCAGGTCTACCTCCTCTAAATCCTCCAAAGTAAGTGGGATACAACAAAGTTGCTTCCAGACCATTGGAGCCAAATGAAGATCTAAAGGCTTCTTGGTACGAATAGCGACACCCATCAAAATGCCTAAGAATTTAAACTGCATCAGGTGTTCATCTAAACAGGCTGAAGAGTTAAAAAGAAACCTAAAAGAAAATAGAAACAGTGTAAAGGCTCCAACAAAATTCACTTTTCACTTCATATGGCTACAAGCTAAACAGCAGCTATTTGTAGGGCAAGATCCCCAAGTTTACCACAGCAGCATTAATTCTGAAGGCTGCCAGGGTTAAAATGGATCCAGCCAAAAGCTAGAGCATATTCAGTGTTGCTTTACTTTACTCTCCAGCAAACCGAGTTGTTAGTCTTACCTACTGAGAATGCCTGCAGGTGCATCCTGTTCTGGCCTGGTCCCCTCCCACACCTTACCTACCTACAGGAGTGTGGATAAAAGCAACTGTTCCAGAATGGAGCAATCAAGAAACTTCAACATTTGTCAAACATCTGTTCTAAGACCTTTTTTCTTCTATTTTGTTAGCAAGTGTCCTGTAATAAGACGAAATGCTATCCAACTTACCTATCCCTATTGTAGCCTACTTCTGCGGTAGCATTTGGAGAAGGAATAAGCAGGTCCACCACACCAGTTTCCAGTTCCTTAAAAATAAAAAAGTGTTTCTTAAACATTATAGCTCAGCACATGGCATTAACTTAATGATAATGTTGCCAAAAAACCATCTTAAAAGGGATTTTTTCCCAAAAGGAAATCAGCACATGGTAAGTATAACTAGAAGAAAATAACAGATTAATATAAGAACCAAAAATCTGTTTCCTATTTGTGATGGGATTTTATTTAAATTGATTTTGCTGCATTTCCAAGGCTAGCAAAGAATAGCTACGCACATACTTCAACAATAGCCTTTAAATGGCACCATCACAAAGAGGTAATATGCTATGCAAGATCTATTGTCCTCCTCCCACATCATGGAAGATGCACTGTTGCCCTAGTGTAGCCTCAGAACTGCTGCCACTTGATGGAGGTATCCAGTGCACCAGATGAGAAGATTTGGCCTAAAGTGCTACATAACAGGAAATTGTCATAGGAAACAAAAAAGAAAGAGTGCTTGAAAGAAATAGTTAAGGTATTTACAGCATGTGTCATACCTGGCACATTTCTGTAATAGTGTCATCAAACACCCCCCCGGCATCATCGGCTCCTTCTCCAACCAATTTCACTTTCCAAGCACGGGATGGTAGGCGAAGGTCTGAAGCATTCAGTTTTACCACTTGTCTTGCTATTTGTACAAAAATAGGCTTACATTTCCGACCTCTTCGAAGAAAAAGAAAGCGACAGAAAATGTAATTTATAGAAAGATCACTTGTATACTCTAAAGTCTTGTCTGCACAGTGGGGTAATGTGCACTACAGGGTGATTTCTAAAGCTCATTAACACATCATGTGTTAATTGGTCCACATAAACCCTTCCTAGTGCTTACTAAGGGTTCCTTGGTACACTTTAATAGAAAGTACATGAGAACGCATTAGGTGCATTATACCAATGAATGCAAAATATATCTGTGTACTTCAGAAATTTCACTCCATACCACGTATTGATCCACTGTCTTGTAAAGCTGTCCTACATACCCATGGTGTCCAACCAATTCTGAAGCTATAGCAAACTAGCCACACTCAACTGGCCAAATAACCACCGTGGCTAGTGTGTTGGCTATATACTGATAGTGATAGAAATTCCAGTCCTTCCTGAATGTTTGCAGAAACACTATGGTGCCAATACTGACCTGGTCGATATTCTTTTTACAGTAATTTGAGGCCCATAGTTCTTCCCCTGAACCATGGTTTTTCCTATGGAGCGTACCATGGGAAGTGTGTAGACTCTTGGTGCCAATAATGGTCTTAGCTGTCCTTGGACTATGCCCCATGTTCCAGCATTGTAATGAGATGTGCTGTTCTGTAATACAGCAGCATATTCATAAACATAGTATGCTTTAAATATTCATATTAATTCAAATATTTCTGGAATAAGAATCTCCATCATTAATACAGCCTGAACTTTCCTCCTAATAGTTGGTGAAAACTGATGAAAATACAGGAAAGCTACATAAATTATTTTGGTCTTAACAGAATGTTACAAAATATCTCTCACCAATTATAAATGTTAGGCTAATGGGTTCGCGACACTAAGACACTGAAAGATGTACTTAAATCAGAATTTATTAAAACTATTTTTGGGAGAATGAGTTAATGAGGGTTTTATGTTCTACAGACAACAAAAACAAGAAAGCACTATTACCATAATTTAATTTTGAGGGCGAAAACTCTGGTGACAAGGCACAAAAATACATTTGTTAACTCTTTTCAAGATAATGTTTTACCTGGTTATTGGGGCTGAGATTAAGTAATCTCCAGGAAGAGTACATGAGGTCTGAAAAATGGTACAGAAGTCTGAGTCTTGCTCTCACAGTATGAATACTCATTTCCTTCAGTGCACCATACTGTGGTGGAATGGCATCAGGTAAACCAAGCTGTAAAGGCACCGATACACCTGCACAGAAAACAGACTAAATTATTCCATAAAAGTATCTAATCTCTTTAAGATCATGACAAAATGCCTGTAGGCTTCTGTGCAAGCAGTTTTGGGCCTTAATAGACAATAAGATATATTATTTCACACACGTTTTCTCTCTAATAATATCATGGGACTAACACGGCTACAACAATAATGCATGCAAATGTTAATAGGTTCTTGCCTCCAAGTGTTATACTACCCAGGGCCAGCTCTAGGTTTTTTACCGCCCCAAGCAAAAAGATTTTTGACTGCCCCTCCTTCCCTGGTCCCAATTCTGCAGGACAGGCACTGAGGAGGAAAGCGCCCCTTTCACCTTGCGGCTCTGACTCCCACCACGCCCTCCAGCCAAACCCAGCCTACGTCCTGTCTCCCCCCACACACATCCTGCCCCTCTCCCCCACCTACTCACCGAACCCAGTTTCCACCTTCTCTCCCCTCCCAGGCAAACCCTACCCCTCAGTGACGGGACCCAGTCTGCCCTCAAACTAATCCACCCTGCGCCCTCTCTTCCCTCCCAGCCAAACCCGATTCCCCCGCCCTCCCCTCCGACCGGACCCAGTCTGCTCCCCTCTCCCACCTACCCCCACTGACCGAACTCCATCTCCTTTCCCTCTCCCCACCAAACCCTCGTGTCCCTTCCCCACAGCATGCACGGAAACGTCAGAGCGCCCTGGGGGAGGAGTGAAAGGGGGACGTGCACGGACACAGCCGGGAAATGTAACGGGCACCTCTTCTCCCCCCCCCTCCCAAATCTCTGAGCTGGGGCAGGCGAGGCTCCCTCCAGTGGCTCCTTTGTGCCAGACCAACCAGATCGGGCTGCAAAGTAGCTTTCCCCTCTCCCCAGCCTAAGCACCTCTGCTTGAATCATCCTGGCCCAGGCAGGGCCTTTCTTCTGCCCAGCCCCACTAAGGCTGCAGCTCTCCCCTCCCTCCGACCAACACTGAGGTAGAGAAAAGAGGGAGAGTCGCCCCCCATTTGCCAATGTGTGCTACCCCCTCCCCTCCACACACACACTCCTGCGAACTCCTGGGCCAAGGGCGCCTGCTCTAGCCGGAGGGGTCACTAGTAAGTGCAAGTCAGGTGGAGAGAGGACTACAGGCACCTGGCTCGCAGCGCGGTCCCTGGCTGCAGTGACCCAGGCTGCTCCTTGCCCAGCCCCAGATCTCTCTGTGCAGCCTACCCCGCACAGCCCAGGGAGAGCGGCTCGCCCACCAGGGCCGTAGCGCTCCGGTGCCGCTGCTGTTCTCAAAGCCCATGGTGCGCCCCCCTGCACGTCAGGCCACACTGGCTGGTGCCAGTCAGAGGAGCACGAACGATCCCCGGGCGCCGGAGTCTGCTTCATAGGAGGCTTCCTCGGGCATTTCCCGCCCCGCAGCTGCTGGGTGCTGGGCAGTGGCAGCTGC